TTGAATTTTTGGAAAGACCTGAATATGATCATCGTAGCATAAGAGAATTTTCCCATTACTAGATAATATCTGTAATATGAAACAACTTTGGAATTTTTTTAGATCTGCCTAGTTCATGTGATTTCTTGTTTATCATAAGGACATACAGGTAGGCCAGCTAAAAGAGGATTCACAATTATCTGTCGAACAGATTAGCTCTGATTGGAAAATTATAGGATTATAAGCACTTCTTGAGATGAAAATTAGGCATGAAGTAAATCCTATTGCTAAGAACTATCAGTACTACTATGTAAGGAACAATAAATTGATTTTGGAAACGCTATATATCTCTAAAATTGAATTAAGATGTCTACACCTATTCTTCAGTACACTATATCAGGTAACAAAGTAAGAATCACGAAAGTGCAAACTTTTGGAAGAATCTCATATTATGACATCAAGGGACAAAATGGAGCTCAAGAAGCAACCTCCGCTTCCTTTACTCTCACATTTTTCCTACGTCATTCACTTCTCTCCATCAACATCTTCATAACTTTTTCTACTTAGAGTTATGTTGCTCAATAGACAGATATGCTAGTATTTATTTTATTCATAGTTGTAACTTATGGTCTTCGAGACGTAATCACTAAGATGGCGCATAGTAGTCCGCGTTCAAGTAACCAAGTACTTGAGAAGAATGGTAAAGAGTCAAATAGCAAATAATTACTCAGATGAAGGCTAGTCTTACATAAAAAAACATTGATTCATGTTCTATGCCAACCTAGTTTTCAAACTTAATATGCATGAGAAGTGTCAAGATACTTAGTTCAAATATGACATTGCCACAAAAATCTAGCTTTTTGTTAATTAAAATGATCGCGATTCAGAACTCAAATAATAAGAAACTGATTTGTAAATTTTAAGCAGAAAATGACACACATAAACACCTAAGTTCATGAAGAGAGGACAAAAGTCATAGGGTTCAACAAATTAATCAACAAGATGATATTACTAAAATTTGATGGAATTTATGATAACCAGTAAGTGTTGTCTATGTGTTTAAAAAACTATGCAGAGTTTTGTCCATATTTATTGTTTCCATGACTTTGGAAATAAGTTTCAAACCCACATTTTAGAGGAGTTAGCAGGTCTTTCAAAGTAATGGTCTTCGGGGAACATGAGATCCCAACACCTTATTTATCTTCAGCATTTCGAAAAACTGAAACTTCATGGAATACGAATTGAAATAATTTCGGTATTACAGGTCAGCAGCAACAAGCTCTAATCTCGACCAGTATTATTAGTGCTAACAACCCATAACACCATTTAAGTAAAAATTACAAGACCTGACTTTAGTGTTGATAAAATTAAAATGCAACCAGCTTACTCGTATATGAAATATTGGTTATACAAGAGTGTTCATCTTCTAGACATTGCATTGTAGTTTTGATGCACTTATCTTTATTCCCTTCCTGATTCCTGCACACATAGCACTCCATGGATAATACTTTGAAAATTAAGTCATAAGCAACATACATTCTTTGAAAATTCCAAAAATGAATAATAGGACAACAGAAGCTATCATTTCCTTGAAACCTTGAAGGACGAAAACGAGGGCAAATAAAGATAAATAATAAAAGCTGTATTTAAACAAACGGCAGTCGAAGATACACAATTTGCAAGGTTGTTTTTTTAAAAATAAAATATAAATATGTGAGCACAGTAAAATTGTTTTCTTTATAATACAAAGAGAAATCGAAATGATAAAAAATGTCAACTAGGGGTGAATTTATCCGCAACGCATGATTCCCACCTCATTCTGATTGGTTGCTAGGCTAAAGGCCACATCTACGAAACTGAGTTGCGGTTATTGCACCCTCAACTAGTAACTTACAAGCATTAATCATTCACATGTTCTGGAAATCTTAAGTTTATTTTCTAATACTTTCAAAGTATCATCGTGTGCGTTGACTGTCGGATGAGGTATTATAAGTGTTGGAGCCGTGTCGTTTGATTGTACCGAAGATAAATCGACGTATATAGGATTTCCTTCTAAATGTGGTGCTTTGAGGTGATCAGTGCTGATGCTATCGTTGGTTCCGTTCTTATCGAATATATAGTACTTGAGTTTGCGTTGAACAACTTTGAAGAGTCCTTCGTATGCTAATTCGAGAGGTCGTCGATGTGAGTCTCCATGAACGAAGACGTGTGTACTTTATCGCAAGTCAGGTTGAATGAAAACATAAGCCGGATGGAAAAAGGTTTAACTGAACGCATTGCGTTTGTAAGCCTGTTCGTGTAGAAGGTTAGACCCATGTTCATTGAAGAGGATGAAGGACCCACGAATTCTCCTGGAAGTCGTAGTATCGTTCCATAAACGAGTTGAACCGCAGTGTATTAAATGTTAGCTTTCACTGCATTGCGAATACCTAGTAAGACTAGTGGAAGAGCGTCGGTCCATTGTAAAATGTTTGTAGTTAATGGTGGAGCTTTAATTTATCTGTGAAAGCGTTCTACCAACCCGTTTGCTTGCAGGTGCTAGGCGGCCGTTCGGAGGCGAGTGAAAGTGTGGTCAGACAACGAAAAATTCGGGTTCAAACTGGCGTCCACGATCTGTAGTGGTGGTTGAAGGTCATCTGAAATTTGCTATACATCGTTCAACGAAGGCGCGGGCCACTGTTTCAGCAGTTATGTCCTTGATAGGTGATGAGATGAGAGTATCCAACTGAATCTGGCAAAAGTCTCACCAAATCCAGATGAACATGTTCGAAACGAGCATCCGGAGTTTTTAAAGAGCACAAAAGATATTTTTTTGTGTCTAACAACCTTAAATTTTTGGCAGCATACACAGGAGCTTGCATGCTCCCTCACGTCTTTATTCATACCAGGCCAGCAAAACCGTTCAGCTATAAGCTTGATGGTTGCACGGACACTTGGATGAGAAAATTTCTGCAACGTATTGAAGACGTTGCGTCGATAATGTTTCGGCACTATTGGGCGATGCCTACCTGTTGATGAGCCACAAAGTAAGGTTTCCTTACCTGTTCCCATCTGCTTGATGATCAGCTTAACGGTTATAGAATATCAGTGTCTTCTTTCGGAAGCTGGGCGACTTTATGAAGATCGATCCTTTTGGAACCGTTCAAGGAAGTTATTCGAGACAGGGCGTCTGCAACTATATTGTTTGCTCCAGAAATGTGTTGAATATCTGAAGTAAACTGCGAAATGTAATCCAGTTGTCGAAACTCACGAGGTGAGCACTTGTCTGAAGAGGAGCTTAAAAAGGAGGTAAACGGTTTATGGTCAGTAAAAGAGTGAATTCACGACCTTCCATATAGTGTTGAAAATGCCGTATAGCACAATACAAAGCTAAGAGTTCCCTACCGGAAGTGCTTTACCTTGATTCCGTGTCTGTCAAGAGAAAAGTGCCAAAGGTTGTCTGAAGTGGTTAACCCATTGTTGTAAAACGTCTCCGAATGCTGAGTCGGATGCGTCTACTACGATAAAAATGGGTGTTTGAGTGTCCTGATGTGCGAGCATTGTTGCTTTAGCGATAATTTCCTTAATTGTGGAGAATGCTCTTCATGCGGAGTCATCCAGATTGTTGGATTTCGCACTTCCACGAAGTTGATCGGTAAGAAGTTTTTATAAGTAATGCGCATTTCGGTGTGAAACGTCTATAGAAACTTACCAGTCAGTTAAACGTTCGTAATTGCTTGACGGTGGTCGGTTCTGGGTAATCTGGAATGGCTGCCACTTTGGTTCTAAGGGGTCGAATTCCTTGAGCATCGATTGTTTGTCCTAGAGAGTCTAATAAGTCGGTTCCGAATTAGCATTTCTGAATGTTTACAGTAATGGCATGTTTCTGTAGTCGTTCGAAAATAAGATCCAGATGCTTGTGATGTGTATCTCTGTCCGGACTCGGTATTAGGTCTTCACGAAATTTAAGATAGCGTGTAAGTGTATGACATAACTCTGTGAAGCCATTGTAGGTCGTTTGAAGCTTTTCTTTAACTGAAAAAAACCTCGTTTAAGTGTTTCGTAGGGTTCCGAAACACCACTAGTGAACATACTAGGTGTTATGTACCTACTGAACTCACGCGGTAGTGTCTTTACTACTGAGAGGAATTTCGCACGTGAGTCGTTCACGCCGTGGTCGTATAAGTCGGCTTCTGCTTAGCAAAACCAGGCTTCGATGTTTTCTGGCCAGAAGGGCAACATTTACAGCGAAGGTGGGGACATAGTCTTTAATTTAAGTACCTTGTGTGTCTATTCAGTCATGGTGAAAAATGAAGTGCGAGAATGATTGAGTGAAAAATAATTATTTATCCAAAAACACGGAAAAAATATCACAATGTCTAAAAATTTAAATAAGGCAATGATATGTAAAAGCCCAGTAACACCCTTTAATATTAATCGTTCCCACCAAGTGAAATAAGAAGACAGAAGCGAGGAGTATCTAAGATATATTTGATTTGCCATAAATATAACGAGGATCGTCCGATCTAATCTGGATTGCGATTGCAAGGATTGTTGAGCACGGCGTTCTTACTCATGATCTGGTGTAGATGCATTATCGAGCGCCTTCAGCTAGGTGGGTTCATTAAAACTAATGTGGTCAGCATCCAAAATGGGAAACTTACAGAGCTATGTATTTTGTGTATTTATTTAACGCTACAATACCGAAGTTCCTGCCTAGAGGTATTGGTAATCTACCGCTACTAGATACAAAAGCCCATTAGGCAAGGGCTTCTTTCTTTCCATCCAAAAGCATTTGAACCATTTGAAGAGACTCATTTTATTGGTATTAAATGTTTAAGATCTTCAGCTGATGAGTACACTGCCTAATCTCCACAATCATTTATTCACATTCTGCCATCAGGTTCTGAGATATTCTGATAGACAAATTTGGCATTTTCTTTTCAACGAAGTATATTGGAAAAATAAGTGTCATAGCAACATATCACGATAATGACAAGGTTGTATTTGTTCATTTGGCGGAACACTGAAAGCCTGAAATCATGGTTGTGGATGTTTATATATCATCGACCTCGGGAAATACAAAAGTAATTTTTTCACAACTATCTTATCAAATTATTGTAGGTCAAAAGTAGACAACAATATATTATAAATATACTTAGTGCAGCTAAGATACCCTTTGAAGTAAAAGATATATCATCCTCAGAGACTGACAAACAATTCATGTTCAAGGCTCTCGAAGAAAATGGGAAAACAATAATAGCTCCTCAGCTATTTCTTGGTTCGGAATACCTAGGGGTATGTCAGGGAAGATCGTTTTGAATAATTTTTTCATAACAATTGTGTTGATCATTACAATACTTCAAAGTATATCTACTAGTAAACTAGTAGCTGTCATATTTTGGATAAAACAAAACCATAACACGTGTAGTTAGTTTACTCTGCTCCTAGCAGAACCGTGTGTTCTGTTCATGATTCTGGTTTTCTGCTTGCTGCATCGCCAGAAAATGCTTCAAGGTATATTTTATATAGGCTTTTTATGCTTGTAGAGGCATACAAAAATCTGACATCTAAATTGGTTACCTGTTGTAGATATTTAGATGAATCGGGGCTTCACTTTTGTTTCATTACCTCACATCTCTCTCACTTGTTTGTCTTAAAATTAACTATCACCCAATCAACCGACAAAGGGGAAATAAAGGGGAAACGCGCCAAAATGTTTGCTTTTCACCTGTCCGGGAGAAATAATGCGGATTCCTCCCTTTTCGTCTCTCTGTCGCCCAAATGTCACTGAATTGTCTACTTTTCGCCTAAATATACGCCGAATTGAACCACGCATGGTTTTTGTTGGAGATTTTTTGATTTGATCTGACTCCAAAGCTATTACTTAGACTAAAACTATAAAACAAAGGAAGTGCTCGTTTACGCTTTAACAACAATTTTTACATGAGATAGCCACATAATATGAATACTGCCTACATCAAAAACGTCTGTTGATCCTTAGTTGTTGATACTAAAAGTGCATAGTATGGGTATAGCAACCACCGACCCATCATACAGCACCCGAGGTTCAGAGGTAGCTTTTTCAGATAACCATATGCCGGAATATTTCTACTTAGTTGGGATTCTGGAAATCAAATATGATTTAGAATAAGACCTAATGGCTAGCTGAGTGCGGTTGTGATATTCTTAAACGGTTAGAAATATTCCTTTGAGATGTAGGGTTTGTCTTTTCAGTGTTTCCATTTAAGTTGTATTCTCAAATGTTTGTATCATTCTTATTACTCAATGTTTTTCTTTCATTCGTTCACCCACAGGAGTATGATTTCTTCTTGCCTGGTATATTTCTTGGTATCATAAATGTGAGTTGGTTTGTAGGACTAGTATATCAAGGCTCTATCTAGTCAACAAAAACATTATGATGAATGAGTACGCAAAGCAGTCTAAGCCCTCAGTATTCCAAGGTCACACGCAAATTATATATGTTTACAACAAGCTGAATCTTTGTAGAACTACCTGCTATGCAGTGGTATTTTAGCTAGAAATAATGAAAACCCTCTGTTAGTTGCCTAACCATTTGTGGGTTTTAGCTGTGCTTCTTTATACACACCATAAGGTTGCTCAAAAATTTAAAACCTAATGCTTGGAGTATCAAGAAACTGAAGAAAACCTGTTTATGTTTCTAATCTATTTAGTATTTATATAGAGTTAACTACTTTCTGCTAGTTGTAGTGATTGTCACTGAGCGCATTCTGTCCTGTTATTTGATTAAAATCATTTTAGCAACATGTTACACTTTAACAAATAACTAGCTGGAGCTTCCGAAAATCTAGTTCTGACGTTTGACTTAATACTATATATGATGAAGATAATTAAGATGATCTTTTAATCTTCTGAAATGTAGTTTCCGATATTATTCATGAGGTTTGGTGACAGCTCGTGGTTTCCAACTTTCTGCATATATTCTTACGTGCTTCCATGTGTTGTAAAAGTTTCATAATAATAATAGAAAACTCGATAGAAGCGTCTGGCATCTTGAATCTTCAACGACTGAGAGGATTAGAACATGTATTACGTATGCGTTTCTACCGATTACGTCAACACGCTGTTGTAGGAATAGGTTTCAAGAAAGTTATGGGAAGTCAGACCAGGACATAAGATCAGTTGATGAAGACACTGACTATTGGACTGAACCATGTAGGTTAGTGTAGAATGTCTGGTCGGAGTTTGCGTGATTATCGTAATCACTGATTAAAGATTGAGTAACATGACTCAGAATCGTTCTGAGTAGCACAAGTGTATTCACTTATTGTTTTCTCTTAGATCATAAGTTGCTAAATTACTTAGTAATTTTTTTGTCCCACTAACGTATGTTTGAACTTGATATATCAGGACGAAAATTGAAGAAGTAGCTACACCCAAAGCTAGTTTACGGAATACGTCTATATATTCTTCTTTTATAACTATTAGGCAGCTAGATTACACTGTCTTCACATTCCATTTATCATAAGATTTCGGTCAACCCATTAACTACTGTCATACGATTTACCGTTTTTTATTTCCTGCCAGTCGATCATTTAGTCTCTTTTATTCACAGCCACCTTCTGGCTTTTCCATGTATGATTGTTGTGTTTTTTTGTTTTATTCCCAGATCGTGGTTTATAGAGAGGTTTGAACTTTTTTAGACAAGCCTCATGTCAATCATATCTTACCATGATATGGCTATTTGTTAGTCTTGTCGTTTAGTCTCTGTTGAGAGAGGCATGTTATTATAGGCAAAACTTCAATACAGGAAACAATGTTTCTTTAAAAATATCTCTAGTACCTGTCATAGAGCCTTTTATTCTCATCAGTGTTAACAGTTACTAGTTCTGGTAAAATTATACTTCATAATAACGACCATTAGTGATATTGATAAGGTGATTTATAATGTGGTACATCTTGCGTACTAAAAGATGGATCACAAAACCATGCGACATAAATGTGGTATCTATCTAAACAAAAAAGAAAACAAATCAATCTCCATAAAGTGGCAGTTAGTCTTTGAAAATGTTCCACTGGCTATCACTCAAAGTTGATTTTTCTTGCAAGAAATTACAATGTTTGCATTGCCCCACTGTCACGTGATTCTCTGAGCTCCATGTAATACATCTTACTAGAATAATAACCGTTAATCTACAAAACTATTCATCTTGTAATTGTAGGCCGTTAACTGGTTGTATTATTGTTGTAATTGTATTCTAGCTAGCCAACTATTGCGAAGTACAGTATTGTGAAACAAAATGAATTATGTCTAATATTGAAAAATACAGTGTTTGTCTTCTTATATTACTGAATTCATTTATTTAACAGGGTGGGAGTATAGTGATTGTTTTCATGACTTAAATCAGCTGGCTTTACCTCTAACTTATAATTACTCTAATGAAGCAACTAAATCAGCAACATTTCCGTTGTCAAGATTTTTGAAAAATTGTTTTACACATTCAGTTTTCTCTCATTAGTTTGTAAGGGTTTGTATTTTCTTTATGTTGATAAAAAACGCAATTAATCTGTCATCATTTGTATACATACATCTTGAGCGGATTATCTGGATATTGCCATTTAGTCAAAAGTTTTTAATAAAATTAGCTATCTGGATTTAGTAGTTCAGTAGATACAGCGTTACGGTTTAAAGTGAGAAGGAGCGGATTCGAATCCCATTGTACACACTAACATTAGGATGCAGACACATGCGACTGATAGGTCGAAATATAACATAATGAGCATCTTGGATTTCACTGCTCGGCTTGGTATACCCATGTAGTTACAAAGTAATTCTGTTTCTTTCACAATTGTAATTGAGGCCATACGTAACATCCTAAAAAGAATTTCTTTTGTTATTTCTAATGCATTTTTAGGAGATTAAAATTTCATGTTTAGTTCATTTTACGACTTCTAATCATACGCCATGATGAGTAGATATGAAATCCATCATTATTTTGACGGATGATTTACTATCTGATGAACCATGATTAATCTTTCGATACGTGAATTATCTTATAATTCGAATGCACACGTTGTTACACTTAAACTTATATTTTGAATCTTCTTACAATTTTGTGTTCCTGCAGCTTGCTTATTTTGGTATGATGTCAGTAGGATATCTGAAATATATCTGGCCCTATACATTGAGTTATTTCTGACTTACTTAAGTAAACAACTAAGCAACTAGTGGGTTACCAGAACTACGTCAATCATTATCCTTCGTTCTAAATATCTGGGTCACATCTTTGTCCCCCGTCCTCTGCATACAATAGCATAGCTTTACACTAAATATGCAGAAGGCTCCATGATTTAGTCATTAATTCATAAGAAGCTTGTGATCTGACATAAATCCATAAACTTGTTTAGTTGTCGACAGTTCTCGTCAACATAAATTTAGTGATAGAAATAAGTGTCATTTATGACATCAATTCTTACTATCAAAGTAAATATAACAGGCCTTTAAAGAAAGACAATTAAAATCAGTGTATAGAAAGTCAGTCATAATGAATGTTAGAGCCTGATACAATTGTGTCTTAGTCTAGGTTGTAAGTCTTCATCTAATGAGATGGTTGGGCCACGTGTTATGTATGCCTGAACACCGACTATCACGATGTGCAATGCTGACTAGTATTGGGGATGGTCGGATGAAAGTTAAAAGTCACCAAAGCAAAACGTGACATCAGTTCATAAAGTCAATAACTTCTGATCTGAGCCATGTTGGTAGATACAGACTACTTGGTTTGGGGTCCACGCCACTATCGAAACCAATGATTGGAGACTCTAAGTGATATGTTTCAGAATCGATCACAATCGAATAAATGTATACACACTTTGCTTTCTCTGAAACCGTGAGATTAAAATAGCTTTAAATCTTTCTTTTTACGAGCTAATTCTTTCTTCATGTATTATATCCTAATACACAATCTTTCTTTTATATATTACTACCATTGAAGTAACTACTTTTATAAATTTGGTGTTCATCTTGGCAACTTGGATCGATGCATACATATATGTGCTTAGTTCTACGTTGTATCTGACTGACTAAACTGAATTATTAATGAATTAACTAAGTGATTACATTTAATAAATTACTCACTCATTTCTCTGATTCACATGAATTAACCTTTTCATCAGTATATGTATCCTTTTTTTGTATTTCAATAGGATTATGATGAATTTATTCAAGCTAATGAAAATGAAATGTTATTAGAATTTTTAAAAGTCACTAATTCATCACGGGTATCAAGTTTAGAAACTGAATCATAATTTTATAGACTATTTTCTATCTACTTTATTCAAAAAAAAATCAATCAATCAAATCAAATGTAACATTCCTTGTTGTTGTCCTTAATTTTTTCCCCTTTCAAGGTTTCTTTTGTATCCCATTTATGTGTGATAGAATGTATGTGTGTGTATGTATGTATGTGTGTCGGTGTATATTTATCTAATTGAAATAATTTGTAATTTTTCATGTGGATTTTCTTACTCTCCTTGTTATTCTACTAACTTCCTTTTTCATTGCCAGTTTCGATGTTTATTGTAAATGATCTTGACATTATTATATAATCTTGTAAGTGAACTTGATGTGATTATGATTTTTCTTGATGCAATATGAACAACCTATTCACTTGGCAATATTTTCTCTCAGTACTTTAATCAATGTACCTACCTGTGTGTGCGTGTTATGTTTGCGCACTTGTTTCTTCTTCTTCTTCTTCTTTCATTTTCAACCAGCTTTTCAAGTATAAACGTACTAATTATGCCAACAATGGTTATTTATATTGTTGAATGGGTTGTGTTTTTTGTGTTAAAAATAGGTATTCTTTTTCTCCTTTTATCCATTCAGAATCATATGTAAATTAATTTGTATCAGTAAATAAAGTGATGTTAATTCATTGAACTATTTTACAACAGGATCTTTGAATGAGTTTAATAGAGTGATTAGGCCGATTAGATTCATCGTTCATAGTGATCTGTGATCTGGTTACTGTTACTATTACTTCTATTCTAAGATTTGTCTTAATAGTTTCATATATTTATGTTAATGTGTTGTGAGAAATTGAATCCGGTTCTACGTTGAATATAACTGAATGGCGATTGAAGATTAATAGAGAGGAATGCCCCAATTGCTCTGGTACGGCCGAGAGTAGGACGAGTCAACTCTCTCTCTCTCTCTCTCTCTCTCTCGCAATGCTCTTACATGGCCACGTGCATACAACCACTGCCAGGAAAGTCTTACTCACTGCCTTCTCGCACCACGGGTGTTGTTTACGAAATTGATAGGACAAAAAGAGAATGTCCAGAGCTTTAACCGGGTTTAGGGTTATGGAGGATTTACCTAGGAGGGGTTGGAAAATCCTGAGTCCAAACCAATGGTGCACATGGGCTCCAGGATCCTGAGGGGACAAATGGCCTATGAACCAAATGTTGGTCATCGGCTACCATGGGACAGCGTCTCGACGTCGCTCCACTGCCTTGTGGATTAGACTTTTAGGTGAAAGGATCGGGGTGTGGCCCCCTAAGAAAACCACCTTCGGTTAGGGCACCTTGACATTATCCCAGCCTTCACACAAAACGAATGATTTATGTGGCGCATATCTATTTGGTGCCTTCTTGTACCAATGTTTATGTTTTTAAATAAATAGAATAGAGAAGCATAGAATTTAAGTATGACTTATGAAGTTTTCAATTTTGATTGAATATCTTCGCTGTATTATTACTTTAAAACACTTTTTAAAAAACAATGAAATATTAAGAATTTTTTTACAGTGGTATCCAAAGTGAATCGCTTTTAATGAAGTTTATGCTTAATTAGATCATTAAACATTAGTGTAAGTACTACTCAGATCGGTCAGTCAGCAACAACGTAGAACTTTGTACGTACGTAAATCAGTTCAAATTGCCATACTGTAGTGAACAAGAAGACGATTGAAGACAGTCAAATGTAGTTGACATGAAATTACAGAGCATCTCACTAAAATCTGAGAACCATATAGTAAGTAGTTAATTTGAAAATTTTCAATCCATCGTCTCAAACTTCACTGTTCTTGTCGCAAACATCAATCCATTGTCTAAGATTTCATTATTCATGCCTTTTCATACTATCTGCGTTCCGTTTCCGTTCTCTCCTTCTCCATCTTCTACTGAAATAATTCTATGCCTGACCATCGTTATATACTACTTATGTGGATATAAGTAACCCGCACCACAATACTACATTAGCAGCACAGAGATACAATTGTCGATTCATATCCCATGGTGGTAGAAGTAGTAAAAGTATAAGCAGTAATCGGAAAGATTAGGATTTGGAGATGTTTTCATTTCAACCCTTTACTTTTAATTCATGAAATGTTTGTTTGAAAATATTTGAGAACGAATTTTCAGAAAAGGATATTGGCAAGTAAATATTGTATTTCGATCAAATATACTGATTATATAATACTTTTTGAATAATAAAGCCGTTGAAATGGAATTTTGTTAATTAATATTACGGTAAGTTATTTACCAGGCCTGTAGATGCCTGTTGAATCATTAAGATTTTGTTGATGGTTGTATTTTGACAAGTTAAAGCTGTGGCGCTGAGGTATTGAAATACTTTTATTAATCCATAGCTTGTAAAGTCAACTTTGGCAAGAGTACAACACAAATCCAATGATCATATAGACATGGTATATTCTAAATTGAGTAAAGCTGATGTATTAGATCATTCCATTTCGACTTAGTGTTCTGAAAAGTATCATACTCTCTTTAAAACGTAAAAGTCTTTGATTCCATCTCTTTTGTTGAGTTGATTTCTAAGATAGAATGAGGAAAGTGTCCAATACTTTTTGATTCCTAAGGATTATTCCACTTCTACCACTTTCTGGTTTTTATGTTCTCTGAAATTTCTGTTGTTTAATCACGGAAATTACTTTGCTATTCTAGGCGTCATTTTCATCATCAGTGCTTATGTCATATATTCACTCAACTCTTGACGAAACCTGTCTACTAAATAAGGACCATTAAATACAAGTTATAAAGAATAAATCCACAATTAATATATGCATTAATATGCAAATTATATTTTCATTACAGACAAATGATCATGAGTTTTCTTATTATTGTTTATCAAGTTTCCGATATATTTTATTCTGATAATTGAAAAACAAAATCTAAGATGGCGCCTACATCTAGATCATTAGGGAGTGGTAATGATGGCTATAATTAAAAACAAAACTATATAAGTCTTTATATAAACATTGGAGTCTGTTTTTTTTCCAGGAATTATATGTGAAATATAGGAATAATGTTTTCATATGATGAATCATCCTAATTGTATGGAGATACGTAAACAAATTCTGACCCATATATATATATATATATATATATATATATATATATATAACATTCAGTTTTTGATTGAGATCATGAACCGATTGATGTTAGATCACCTTTGGAAACTTGGAAGCACTGGACCGCTGTTTTTTCCTATTTTGGGGCTCCTCAACAGTGCGCATCCACGATCCAGGGCCTTCGGTCTCGCGCGCGAACGCTTAACCTACTGGACCGTGGATGCGCACTGCTGAGGAGTCCCAAAATAGGACAAAACGGCGGTTCAGTGCTTCCAGGTTTCCAAAGGTGGTCTAACATCATCTGGTTCATGATCTCAATGATAAACTTAATAATCTCCACAACCCCTGTACTAGTAATTCAGAGTTTTGTTTATTTGATACGAAACTGGCGAAATAGAATATATTGATTGTGGCTAGCAGTAGAATTTAGCCTACGTATTTCATCGTACTTGGAACTCGTTAGCTGGATATACCTGCATCTCAATGTTGATGTTCGCAGTGGCACTTGAGCTCACTACTTTTCACTCTTAACAATTACTGCATTATTCACTGAACTGTTGAGTCCAGATAACTGCTAGCTTGTGTAACTGATTTGAAGTTCTACATTTTTGAGATTTTCATTATTAATGTATGATAAGAAGCTGCTATGTTAAAAGTAGTAATTAGATATTTACTGAAATGGAACGCATCAAATTTAAGCATATAGTGTAGTAAACGAGAATACAATTAGGGACAATCGAGTGTATTTAAACACAAAATTACAGAATATCTGAGAACCATCCAGTAAATATTTCATCCGCAAAATGTCAATCAATTGTCTCAGACTTGATCGTTTCTTCGTTTCCACACCAATCATTATCTGTTCTCGTTCACTTTTATTCGATCTTCTTAACCTTCTGCTTCCAGACATTTCACTTTCGATTAATGATACATACTACTTATATCTGTCGACATGAGCAACACACACCACAATAGTATTATTATTTAGTTATCGAGTTCTCATATTATCACTGAACTAACTGATATAACATGCAAAGGATTAAGCTTATTAAGTGAATGATTCAGTAATGATAATCGTTCTGTTCAAGATTTAATTATTTTTCATATCTTAAGTTGGTAATCACTACGATAAGTTATCCAATCGTTCCGTAATAATTTCTGTTATATATTTATTTCAGAAGGGGTTTTGTGGATATTATAGTAATTTCAATGGTTGAGATCATGAGTCGGTTGAAGCTAGACCATCATGGAAAACCTGGAGGAGTCCCATATTAGGACGAAACAGCCGTCCAGTGCTTCCAGGTATTCCATGATGGTTTAGCTTCAACTGACTAATAATCTCAACCATTGAAATATATTCATTTAGTTTGAACATTTGTTCAACATAAACTTCGTTTCAGTTTTATCGATATAACTAAAACTCATTAAAATAAAAAATTCTATAAAAAGAGCGAGATTTCTGCCCCTCCCCTCAAAGTATATTTCATTACAGTCATATTCTAGGGTTTGTCTTCTTGATAGTTGAGGACTAGGTTGGGAGTAGAATGTGCGTAGAAATGATACTCTGAGTTAATTAGACATTAGCTGAAGGTGATGAAACACATGCAGTACTGGTATGTAAATACATATTTATGAATAAACTATTTGTGCACATAATGTTGATTCGAATACTTCCTTCTGATTGTTGATCCTGAAGGATACATAATTAAATAAGAATCGTTTTATTCTTAATTCTATATAAACTTGCAACCATTACATTTCATTATGAATGCACTGAATAATAGGCACTTTTGCATTATGCAAATGGTTGCTGAGACAAAAACTTTCATTTTTTAAAATTATTTCGGGTTATCATAATGTTGTTGAAAATGACTATCAAATAATCAAAACATAAACTATTTACTCGAAATTAAATATATACGTGGATTATATTCCCTCGATTTTAAAGGTCTGTTAATTTCTCAGCTAATAAAAAGTATAAAACACTAAGGTCATTTACATGGTTACTCAAGGTCATCTCTATAGCGTCACTTACTGAAAATTACACAGATTGTTATTATACATTCAATGTTCTGTTTATTAATTCATTCAATCAACTATGCTATTGGCTAATCGGATTTGTTGTCATTCAGATTCATTATTAACTTGAGATTTTACTCATATGTTTTTAATAAAAGTGTAAATTACTATTAATTATGTATAGTTATAGACAAATTGTATATAAATTTCTATATTGAATACAAACTGTTCATGTCCAAAACTGATATCAGTTCAAAAGGTTTTGGAATAATTACAATTAAAACAATAAATTGTTGTCAGTATAAGGTTGAGGAGATTATTGAGATCATGAAGCGATCAGTCTTAGACCACCATTGGAAATCTGGAAGCACTGGACGACTTTTTC